GATCGTACAGGATGGCCATCTTCCCAGAGTACTGGCTTCGAACCTGCCTTGCCAGCTCCGGGCTAGTGACCATGTCGAACTCCAGAGAGATGTTGTCTATGGTGTAACTGGCCTCATCACCGCTCGGCGCACGCACTACTTTGCTGTAGTCGTTAAACGCTAGCTCGTATTCAAGCCTATCACCCAGCTGCCTGGTAAAACGGGCGCTGTGTCCCGCGGAGCAACTCGAAGTCGAAAGCGCACGCAGAACCTGTTCCCGTACGCTTGAGCGATGGCCTTTTCACCGTCCGTGATCTTGTCTAGCTGGTCTTGCGTGAAGCCATACCCCATGCGCAACCGGTCGATTTGTTGATACCTTGGTACACGCCATTGACGCTGTTCTCCCTCGCTTCCAGAGGTCCCCATAGCAGTGAAACACGCCGCTGTCGCCGATGCTCAGCACCTCGCTACCGCTGATCTTGATGGTGGTTTTCTTGATGATGGCTCGACCTACGCCCGCACTAGCTCGCGCTTTGTCGTTGGTGGAGGTCAACGTGAGGTTGAACGCCAGTCGAACCGCGCCTGGTACAATGAGGTCATTCTCGCCAAGGTTTGGGAATCTAACCAGCAGCGTTTGATTCTGGTCTATCTTGCTGGGATTGTTGGTGATGGTCACCGACTGGCGCACGGCTCTGGCCCCTAGAGGCTCTCTTGATCTTCTGAAAGGATCTAGTTTTCTACCGTACATTGTTATATAAATGAAATATATAAGTTTTAATACTAAATAATGGCTGAGTACATACCTATGGATGATATGTGGGATGATAGTGCCCAGGCATTCGAGGATGACACCCTCATTCACGCAAGGCAACGAACTCGTGAAGCAGGCCGTCAACGGGTTTTACGATGGTTTAAAAGGGGATAAAAATTACGTAGAGCCGTGGGGGCGAGACTATTCCAAGTTTTTTGTTGATGACAATGGCACGCTGCGACTGAGGGGTCGCCCGGAGATCGATCTCATGAATAAGCGCACTAGAGAACCGCTTGCCTTATCAACACTCGGCAGTCGCCATGGGAGTGACTTTATCCGCGATGAACTAGGCTTCATAGATTACGGGGGCGCACGGCCTAAAGCCCTTCCCAAGGAGGCCGTTCAAGATCTGCAAGACGTCAGGGGCGCCACATCGGATCAAGACATGACTGATAACATTGAAAAGCTGTTGGCCACATACCATAACAAACCCTTACCCGGGTTCGAATTTACCGTTCGGGAACTACGGGGGCTGGACAAGGCCATGCAAACCATTCGCGGACATCTCGTGAACAACACGGCCAAACTGGACGCGATAGACGACCACATCGCCCATGAAAAGGCCAAACTCGGTGAAACGGAGGATGAGTCTCTGAAAGCCACCATCGAGGAACGAATACGTAATTTGGAAGAGGAAAGGAAGACCCGGCTGGAAACGGCATCCTCCTTCCGAGACCAGCTTCGATCCCAGGTCAGCCGCGGCGCTGAAACTGTTGATCGAAGTCCTCTACCAGGACACCACGCTAGCTGACAGGATTCGGATACTGTTCCGGGAGCAAGGGATCACCATCGCCAGCATTCTGACTGCATTGGGCTTCATCATATCAACCCTGGTGGTGTCATTGACGCCTGCCCCGGCGGTGGTGGTGGTGGTACACCCACGCCTGGTGGGTGGGGCGTCAAATCCTGGATAAAAAACTCGGGAGGCCCTGGCTAAACTGGCTGGTAAGGCTGCCGGGCCCTGCCCGCATCCTGGGTAGCATCGTCTCGTGGTTGCTGGGCGCTTTGGCTAAAACTGCCACGTGGCTTAGTCAAACCTGTGGGCAGCCATCGTCGCGTGGCGGGTTTGGTGTACGTAGCGCTAAGGAATTTTAACCAAATAAGCCCCAAAGCTACCCCACCAACCACCAGGGCTGTTTTACGATCGATGTGCTGCTGTTGTGGGTGTGAACCCACAGGTGTTGGTTGAACCCTAGGTTCCGGGGTGGCGCCACTATACCCGCTTCAACCGGTCGTCGGGTGGTGGGACGTGGGGATGTTAACATCGAGGTTGACGCCCAACTTTTGTCCGCCGTGGCTATGACTATTTCGTTGTTGTAGCCCACCACTTTTTTACTCTCAGTTGCATATCGCCGGAGCCATGTACAGCCCCACCGTCGAAGACGTAGTCGACTTTCGACCTGGCATATTCCAACACGTCTTGGTAGCGTTTGATGGCACTCGGGAGATCAACTGGAGCATTGATAGCATCCTCAACGTTGACAACGAACTGTTTCTGAGCGTCGTAAGCAGTCCCCTTACCGAGGATGTTGGAACGCGTTTGCATCTGCGCACCCAACAGCGCCCACACGTACGTTCGAATCGAGTCGTTCAACCTGGTGACCCCGGCACGAGTAAACCCTTTCGACGTGTCCAACATAAACTTTTTCCAGTCATCCGCTGCCCCCTGCTCGAACCTCCAGACTCGGTAATCCTTGCTGTTGTTGAAAGCCATGTAACGGTCATCCCACTCGTTGGTTGTGAGGTGATGATACGACTTGTATCCCCATTCTTTCAACTTCTCGCTGGCATTCACGAGGTGCATGTTGTGAACGATGGGGATACCCAACCCGTGGTTCGGTCCCGCAAACGCCAATCCGTCTTCGGTTCAGTTCGAATTCATTGCAAATACGTTCGTAGGCCCGCCTATCGTACTTGTTGTTTACTGGTTCCATGCGTTGTCCTGTGGGACCGGAGCGCTGATTTCTTTAAGGATACGCCTGACCTGGTAGTACACGTGGAACGTGAACACAGACTGACTCAGCGGTCCACGCCGAAAGTGTCGGTCAATGTCACACCACACCCCGCTAGTAGCACCACCACACGGCGAAGTTGAGTTGATTCTGCCAGAACTGCATCGGGTTGTTGAACCAAGCATGAACTACCTTAGCGTTAGTCACCGAAAATTTATACAGGCTGAACACATCTAAAAGCTGGGCGCTGAAATACATCCCATCAGCGACCCGATCTTCATGGGTGAGAAATCTACGTCCCAGTTTAGGGTAAACTCCAGGGAGTAAGACACTCCAGGGGAGTACATTTTAAAACTATTATATAATGAGTATATATACTCTAACATGTACATAACACTTCCAGGAATAACGAGCGGGCGAGGCCGCTCAGCTGACGACGCGATCGATAATACGTCGGTCAACTCGAAGTCGCACTCTGCGATATCACCTACCTACCGCAATGGACTAACATCAACACCAGCAACAATAAGCTGTTTGTCAGTGGAGCTCGCAGCCAGATAACTGACGGCTACTACAGCGCAGCTCGCTAAGACGATGAGGTCTTCAAACCCCTGGGAGCCGAACTCAAGATGAACGACTCAAACGGCACAGTGGTGTTAATCAACAACGGAAGAAACTCCTTGAGGCTCGGCCGGCCATTGGCGAGGACACTCGGTATGTCGCCTGACGAGATAAAACCAACAACTACCGTCACAGGCATGAAGTTACCCGACCTAGTACCGTACCGAGAGCTGTACATTCATCTCGGCCAGGTGAGCACAACGTACAACATTCAAGGGGGTCACCCTTCCACTATACTGAGAGCAGTGCCGGTTAAAACGGAGAAATACAACGACGGTAGAACCGAGTCGTTTTCACCGCTGGCAGTATAAGAGGTTGACTCAGGGCAACATACCTGAGCTGATAATATCGGTGTTAGATATAAATCATAATCCCGTGAATATAGGATACCTCAGCTTAACGCTTCACATAAAATGACCAGCGACAAGGGCCCGGGTGAAAAATGCATCAATGTGGGGATCTCCGACCTTGGGGACACACGCCGTTTCTGACGCCCCCCGTAGTAGATGGTAAATTGTACGCCTTGCAACTGAAAAACAACATTTACAAACGCGTTGAAGTCCTCCGGTGGAGCCCCAGGTGATATAGTAGATACCACAAGAGCGACAGTCAACACTAAGTACACCCTAGTCAACACCGGTGATGATAAATGGATAATATACCCATCGTTCGGGGGCAAACTGTTCGACTTAGACGATGTTGAGAGCACTACCGTCGCCCGAAACAAGCCATATACTCTCGTCTTCACCGAAGATGACAAGTGGGTGTTGTTACCCGATAAAGACGACTGGTTTCTCAATATTAGGCTCGGCTCCCCCTACGTGTTCACGGATAACAAAGACAACCACCTAAACAAAGTCGTGAACAACGGAACCCTGCTCGTGGCTTACGTCCCGACTCAGAGACGTAGCGTAGTCATCAGCCCAGTCGCCAGTATGGCAGCCCACATGCTATCGAGTAAACCGGGAATGCAAAACGTGACATTGCAGTTGGTGTCTGAATTCGAAGGCGTGGTCACCATCCTGGAGAGTCTACCGGCGAACTCAACACTGATCATCAAAGTCTACCTAGGGGAACCATCGCAGGGTGATGTCGAGATCGTGAAGGGGATCAAACTCGGGTGGGCGAAACGACACCAGTATCACGTTTGCACAGTTTACGTACGGGTGGGTGTCGGCTCCAACACCAGTCTGCAGGGTGTCACCGTGATCGTGGAAAACACGATATCACTAACCAAGATCTTCCTACCCGACAACATACACTTCATGGGGGTGAAGTTCACCCCTGAACTATTATCAGAAAACCAGTTGGAAACTATATCGTAGTAGTATTATAGCAATGACCAGTCATCGTCCCAACACTACGCTTAACGACCTAGGGGACACGGAGGGATTCGATCAGCCTGGTGAGGAAGACACCTTATACATCCTGCACTTCAAAGACAACGTGTATAGGCGGGTGTCGTTATCAGATTTTAAAGAGCCTGAATGGTTAGTCAACTTAACCCTCACCTCACCTTATATCTCATTAAAGGAACAAAGTTATATCTCTGAAATTAAGAATAGCGGTATCTTGCCCGAGTTTCGTTTCATTCCGGCCTAATACAAGGATTATTACTAAGCCCGGTTTTACCCAATATGTTACTGGCATTCCACGGGGTGAGTTAAGGTATGACTGCTACGGGCACATAGGGATTCCATCTATGGTACCAGGCTCCACACTCATCATAGAAGTCTATCTCGAAAGAGTTAATAGTAATAATGCAGTACAAACAACTTTTACCTGGGTGACAGTGTACTGGAGTCCCCAGAACCATGGTAAACGCTACCGTATCATCATACAACAGGACCCCTCAACGGGTTCTATAACCCCTCAATAAGCCCCTCTGATGGGGGCTCTTGTGAATGCAGAGTTACCTATTAAATTCTCACCTATTCTCCTACATGAGGATTTATACCTTATAAGCCCTCAAGTACGTTGATCGACTGTTAAATGAAACCCAATTAAAATATCTTTTGTAATATATATTATAGGATGGGTCTGTACCCAGTCGTAGAGGAAGTAGCGAAACCCTGAAACCGTGAGGACGGTTCCGCTTGAGACAGTTATGTGATGTAAAACGCCAACTAGAACAAGACCGCGACACGCGTAAAGCACTATGTAAGAAGTACCATAGAGCTTTCAATATCGTGGACGGGGCTGATACTGCCCTTATGGCAACCAGCATGGGGCTGGGAGCGGCAGGTGTTGGGTTGTTAGCTACCATCGTGGCTACCCCTGTAGTGCTAGGCATTGAAATAACAGCTGGGTGGCAGGGTGTTAGGGTTGGCGCTTAAGTTTGCATCACGCAGACTGCATCGTAAGGCATTGAAACACGACGAGATCAGGGTTCTGGCTGAAGCAAAGCTGAACACAGTAAGTGAGCGTATTTCCACGGCACTCACTGACAGTAAGATCTCAGAGGAGGAGTTTCGCTCTAATCCTCTGAACTCACAAAATATAACAAAATGAAACAAGAGATTCGATCCAAGTCTCGTAAGTCTGCTATCAGTGAGGATGAGAAAAAAAGTACATAGAACAAGGAGTGAAAAAGCCCAGCAAGCCTTTATTACAAACACCAAAGAGATTATAGGCGATTCACATTAAACTGTTTCATCGAGGTAAACGCGGTATAGCGGCATAATAGTGTCATAGCGGCAATCACGGCGCAGCATTGATATGATGCAATCCCAGGATAGACCCGTTAAACCAACATACTTCAACCATGTCCCCTGTAGCTCAGTCGGTTAAGCGGCGTGTGTGAGGTATAACATTGGGCGTTCGTATCCCGCTAGCGTCCCAAACTTTTTCATAGTAGGGGTAATGGTAGCAAGAGCTATAGTTCGACCAAAGCCTTATTTGTGAAATAAGGCTTTGCAGAGGCTTTGTTGACCTGGTCCAAAACCCCATTCCCATATACTACTGTGCGTGCGTGCGTGCGTGCGTGCGTGCGTGTGTGTGTGTTGTTTTCAGATGAAAAAATTGAATAGCCTAAGAATGCATGTGTTCATGACTAGTGTCTATAGGCGGTACACTCACCTTTCTCACGAACATCTGTTTGATAGTGATTCATAAACACATACTCATGGTATTCAATCGACTAGCAGTGATTTCTTATGTAAGTGGGAAAATGTTTTGCAGTTATATTCACCTATTTTTGTGCTTTTCTCAGGAGGACTGTGGCGATAACAGAAACGGAACATATGGTTCAGTTACCTCCCCTTATTATCCCAACAACTACAATCAAAACCATAACTGCATCTACACCATTTACGCTGGGACTACGCTGATCCGCCTTGTGTTCGTGGACATTGAGCTTGAGAGAGGCTATGACAAAGTCAAGGTAAGGATCCGAATACTTTAGAAGTCAAATACAAAACAAGGATCACAAAGCGATCGTAGCGCTAAGGTGATCGTAACTCCCATACTTTAACATAGAATTACGAGAGTCGTAGCGGTGCGAACGTTTTGTGCAACGGGCCCCTGAAGGACCGATACGTTATAATGATAAAACATGCTATAAAAATTACCGCTGAGTCTTGATCACTTGGTTACAATTTAAGGTTGGGTAACTGGATATATATTAATGTATTTACCAAGATCTTAATTCGGCAAACGGGCACGGAGAATCAAACTGAGTGAAGCTTTCGCACTGTGTCTTAGTTGAGGGCATTCGTATTAAAACATTCACCTCGCAAACAACTTACTTTGAAAGCTTCATCATTATTATTATTTGGTTAAAGACCTGATGATATCTGATTTGTATCTAGCTTACCAGAACCAGTACAAAGTCAGATGAATCCAGTTAGTCGCCTCTTACGACAAACATGTATTGCTTGGGACCAATCTAATCCGGGTCTTCATGTGAACTCTTGCCTAATACCTGAAAATACTTATAAGGTACATCGTCTTTGATGCTAGTTTCTTTAACGGATCGATTAATTAACATTTCAGGCCATATTACTTGAGATAAAGACCATGATAAGCTTCTAAACTCGCATCAAGTGAGACATTTTCCTTCATCTCTTTTCGATGGAGGCGTATTTCTGTATTTCTGCGCATCTACGTGGATGATAGTGCTTTTAGATTGTTGCTCTAATATGCGTCTTAGCTTTCACAAACTCTGGTGTAAATATGTAGAAACTCGATATATACACACAACCTTAAAATCCATGTCATCATAATATTATCACTTTTCATTCATCGAATGATAATATGACCTGGGTCGCATAACATGAATCTGAGAGAAAATCTGAGAGATGACCAGGGTCGTTGGACATGTTTTCCAATATCCACGCTTGTGCCATGCCAGTATATATTTGCAGGCATTCAACGCATTTGGCAATCTCATTGTGTCTCTGGAAGGTTTGAGGTCTTGGTATGTCATGGAGCCATCTGACTATTACCGCCTGCAGTTCACCAGCGATCAATTGGTAACTAGACGGGGATTTAATGCCACGTGGACCAGTAAGTACATAGTCACTGAACTGCAAATGAAGGTTTAAAGGGCGAGTAAAATGTACGTCTGAAAAAGATGAGGTAGCAAGGCTTATGAAACTTAATGAACGACGACCTTGTTGGGATGGCGTCGTCGTTACGTGGTGGACCCAGTCGAACACCAACAGCAAGGGGTGGATATCTTGGAACATATGTTATACATTGTGTTTTGTAACTCCGTAATCTTATGAAATGAATGAGTTTGGTTTTACTTCTCTTTTCCCAATAATCGAACAAAATCACGGAAGGGGGAGACCGTAAATGGGTTTCGGTAACATGTTGAGCAAAGGACTAGGTTACCTCACTGCCACAGTAGTTGCGATTATTTGATTATCACAGTGTTTTCGCGATGAGAACTTTGGTAATATGTTTGCATTAACTGAAAAGCAATTTCGTAAAAACACTTATACTTTTTTTACCTTCCTGGATAGTATGTACACCTTGTATCTATATTTTGCATTTCTATACATATACTTTGATTTTCAGTTGCTGCTGTCTCTGTCAAAGAAAGCCTTCATGGCGCCTGTGGGTACGACGAGACGTCAGTGCACATGTCATCATCCGGGCTCACACTGGGTCACCTGGAGGCCTTCACCTCAGACACCATATCTGAGTGTATGTACGTCTGCAGGATTGACGTCTTTTGTGCAGCTTTCGATTTTGTTGACAAGAATTGCTCTTTGTTTCTTAACTTCAAGGGTGATAACATCCCCGCAAACATTTTAAAGCTGATGTAGATTTGAACCATAGTCTTGGGGCTGTAATGGTGAATGACTTTATTCGGTGATGAGGCCACAGAATATTACATGTCAGGATATTGCAGAAACACAGGAAGCGCCTGTAAAATCAGAAATACAGCTATCAATAGAGGCAATGACTGTCAATGGCAAACATCAACATGCGAAGTGATCGTGGTGATACAAACTTATTCCGCAATTTAAGTGCAAGAAATGTGTACTTTCCAAGATAAGTTGTTATTTCATTATGAGATAACGGCAGCTGCTTAAACTTACCGAGAGATGGAAATACCCAGAAAAAATTTGAAATAAGATGTTTTCTGAGATCATCGTAAAATGGACATTCTAAGGTGAGGTGGAACTCAGTTTCTATCACAGGAATAAGATAAAGAGGACATAATCGCTGATCTCTTGATAGTCCTAATTTACGACCATATTCAATCATGAAACTATGGCCGGAGCACCTTAGAAAGTACAAAGATTGTCTGTACACTTTCACTGGAATGCTTGTGAGATAACTCTCAAACTGAACAGTATGTTTAACTGACTTATAAAGTGTTAATTTGGAGAAGTTGTTTAGGTTATCACACCATATCAATACATCTTTGTTTAAATATTTGAAGGAATAACTGGGTATTTACAGTGTCCTGATTGATCCACACTGGGCCGAAGCCATAAGAAAAAAGTAACTTCTTTACATTCAAACCCAGACACTCAATATCTCTATTTGCAAGGCCCTTTTCATACAAATAAACACGCTTCAAAATAATTTGTCTATCCTGATAAAGGACTCTTACCCAATACTTCATGATTTTTATGTAATAGTTTACTTTTATGGAGTAGCGTCCAAGTTGACCCGTTCAGATACAAAATGGCTTTATATAATCTATCGCAAAGATTTTCAATATCATGAGGTACATGGAAGCCCCAAACTTCACTCCCATTAGTCATTATAGGCATACCTTTCACATCACAAATGTGGAGTTGAATATGAAAAAACAACTTGTGAAAGTACTTAATATGAGATTTGATACATTGCAGGGCTTTATCAGCTTGGTAAGCAAAGTGGTGTTTGTTTTTTTGGTGTGTGTCTTATACCATGATCCAGAGCTTGATAATTGAACACCAAGGCATTTGTAGGAAGATACTATTTCGAGCGTTTCCCTTTTACAACAGGATTTTTCATATTTTCTTAGCAGTCCCTTGGGGCTGGAAATGGGAAGACAAAAAAATTATCTTTTATTTATTTTCTTATTTCACTTCACGTAGACCATATATAAGATGGTGGCTGTTACTTCAACGGTGACAACTTCCCTGCAAATGTTTCGGTGTTAATATAGATTAGGACCTGACTGTTGGGTTTGTATATGGGAAGAAATCAATTTATGTTTTACCATCATGCTTGCGCCCGAGGACATAGTGCTGATGTTGATATTTTGTTATCATCAAATATAAATTACTTTTTGTGCAACTGATTTTTACACGCACTCTGCAGTTGAAAATTAATGTTTGCTTCGGACGGATTGACGGAGTATGGTTTTACGCTGCTTTTAGAAATATACCAGCAATATCACGGCGGGGGACATCAGAAATGGCTTCACACATGTGGGGAATCGAACCCGGGTCTTCGGTGAGACGACCGAACGCTTTAAGCACAAGGCTACACTCATGTTTGCTTTAGAAGTGGTTTAATTGTGTCACATGCAGTTTACGGGAAATTCAGCACATTATGCTAGATATCACCATATCGACTAAGTGTGCAGTGTGGTGTCACAATACAGGTACGATACAGGTATCTCAATACTGAGGTCACGATACGATACGTATCACGATACATTTCAGATATTTTCCGCGTAACAAGCAGCCATTACCTAAGTGGCAAGCCATACCATAGCTCACCAGTCACCAAATATTTTGGTAGATATTACTAGAGGGAAGTAGATTACTAGAGGGAAGTAGATTACTAGAGGGAACTAGATTACTAGAGGGGACTAGAGGGAACTAGATTACAAGAGGGAACTAGATTACTAGAAGGAACTAGATTACTAGAGAAAACTGTGTATGAGCCAAGTATCCATCAACCACACTCACCGCGTCTAGTCAAATTTTATGTTCTGTATAAGAAAATTACAAGAGAAAAGTTCACTTTTAATAATGTCCTATTTGTATTTAACAAAAAATGTTTCATGTGAAATATCGCTGCAACAGCTAAATAATAACCGATATATGTGAAAATATGAATCGATACTAAGACAAACGAATCATGTATCGCATGGTGCAAAGCTTGCACCAATGAATTCCTAGTATGCAGTATGTGCCCGGCGATCTCGCCGCTGGCCAGTAGCACTTAATACTCTACATTAGGCAAAGAACCAATGGTTGGTTTATGGAGATCACAGGTCAAGCCTGCATTTTCAGCTGGTTGCCCGGCGCCTTGAGAAATTGAGAGACCCTTGGAAATCGAATTGCAACTTCATGCTGTATCATTACCTGAGGCCAACTGTAAGTTCACGTTGACGCCTGCACAAGGCTCATGTGAACTGCGGAGGTGGTTCTAGCTGTTCTGGGTCTATTGCCTTATCAAGACGATGGTCAACTCTATTAGGTTGTACATTCTAGGTACTTTGCTACTGGGAATTGATTACTTAACATCAAGTGAATAACAGGTTTTGGACACGCAGACAGGCTGATACACGGGTTCGCTCGACTAACCTGGTCAAAGCATGGTAAAGAAGCTGCATTGCAAGCAAGACATGTACAGATCCTAACTGGTATTTTACAAACCTTAAAATCCCGTGGAAACATTAGTTTTGACCTTTTGTAAAGATCTTCGACATTAGTATCAGTTCTATCTGTCCTATGGTGCTGATGTATGGGATCAAGAAAATGATGACAGAATAGAGAAGGTACATCTATATGCTGGTAAAGGATTTGTAGGCGTATATTCCAACATTCCAAATGTCACAGTGTATGGGAATGTGCGAGATACACTGTGTACATATTATTAGTCCTATAATAGTAACAACATGTTGGATAAAATTGTCATAGGTAGCAGATTCTCAAAGACATGCAAAAACATGGTGATTTTTTACGATAGTGGAGGTAAACTTACGTGGGCCTCTGGTGTCAAAAGATTCTCCAATCTTGCATAAATGATTACATTTGGGGAAAACAGCATCGAACAGCGCCAAATCGGTTCATATATAATCTGAGACAAAGGCTGAAAGATATGTCTTTTCAAAAGAGGTATTCTTCATTTTACGTTAAATCATTTCGTCAGTTTAATATTATTCATTCTTACTGAAAATATCGTTAAGGCAAATGTTAACACATTCCGAACAGCACCATCCCGTTTCAGATGTAGTTCTCATGATTTTCTAAAGAGTGAGTGAGGTTAGTTTTACGCCGCATTTAGCAGTATCCCAGCCATATCACGGCAGGGGACACGATCCTCTTTAGAGAAAGGACCATAGGCAAAAGCCATAGGAATGAAAATGAATATCGTTAGCCCGTTTGCAAAGCGTATGCAAAAAAATATGTATAGAGAAACAAAATCCTCAACTAAACAATATATTTTATGTATGTATTTTACCACGCAGTGAAAATCCTCTGCATTATAGATGTGATATTATCCACGATATTCTACATTCTATATTCACGATATTTATATTCATATTTCACACACTGCTTTATGCCTATGACTTTTTCACTAATGTAAATAAAGATTGATTTTTTCACAAGGTTTCCTGTTTTGCTTCTATATTTGACAGCTTCAGCGATTCCATCACAACTGTAGGGAGATGGTTGTGGGAAAATCAATCAATCAAGTATATTTCGTAATCCGGGCCACATGGTCCATGGTACAGTTGTAAGATAAAGTATATTTAGGTCACATAACCACCGTGTTAGATCTCTGCCGATCTGATTTTAAATAACTTGCATAAATATAAAGCTATTGAACTAACTAATTAATATAGGAGGTAAATAAATTTTAAAATGTTAAGAATCGTGACTGAAATGTCACTTATTAACCCTTCGAATTATATATTATTAATTCAAGAGTTGCAAACGTTCCGTGAGGCATTCTCACACTATAAGATAAACAAGCAAAAACATCAAACTGATATTGATCATGCTATTTATCACCCGCAGTAAAAAGTTAAATGCACAGCAACGACGTGTTTACTGTGGGGCTCAACATACCTGTCCCGTGTTTAGACCTTTTCACCTCGGCACTTAAAATTATGGTACTAATATGATATCTCTCAAAATGGCTTCTCTCGCAATATACACACAATCTTCTCAGAAAACGATGCATCAATGAAGCTGAAACATCCAATGATGACATCTGAATTTGTTGAAGTGGTTCGAATCGACCGCCAAATCAGCCACACTCAAAATATAATTTCTACCAAAACACACCCACACGGCGAATAAAATCTACATAGCAGATTGGGAGATTTAGGACACGCTTAATCTCAAATGCTTGAAAATGGGAAATCGTGTAAAGCGGACAATAAAACACGACGGGAGAAAATAATCTGCCACTGAATGTATTTTCTCTAATACGGGAATATCTTTTAACTAGTCCACCACTTGTTTTTTACAGGTATTTGGTGATAGCAAATGATAGGGGAAAAGGGATCATCTCAGTTATGACACAACTTTTTGGTTAAAGGTACTGTAAGTCCCCATGGTCCCTAGTATGGTGATCTACCTTTCAGTAACTGGTAATCTCTAGCCCGTTTTTATATACTGTATTGTTCATGAAATTTGTTTAATGTTACAGTTACATGCTAGTTTTAATTCTCTATCTGTGATAATCTAGTTATTTTACTGTCCTTCGTCGACAGGTTTTTATGATTTCATTACATTTATTATGAATTTGTAATTTGTTAAAGTCACGATATGGCTGAAATATTGCCGATGTGACTATAAATCTTAACTCACTCACTCACTCACTCACTCACAACTGGTTGGTAAACAGCTCACAAAGTATATCCACACAACTGAGTGAATAATATTAACCATGCAGCCTCTCCAGATAATCCTTTCCAGAACCCTCGGTTCCAGAAGAAGAAAGAGAAAGTGACACTGAGTTCTGTGAACACTTTTTGTGAACACGTACACTGGACTGAGAGAATAAATAAGTGAATAATAGTTTCTAAATTGTGTTTATTTTGCTTTTAGTGCCAGGTTTTTTCCTGTAGGGTTTTTTTTCGAATCTTTATGTTAATACAGTAAACAGCATTTAGGACTTACACGTTTTAAACGAACTGACGTACCCACTAAATAACAATTGTCGGGGGATTCTGCACAATTCCGAATAATTTCCTTAAGGCAACATTTCAACTGTGGATTGTGTTCAAATTCAAAATCTCTGTAACAGCGTGACTCTCTGCATAATATTTTATTGTTAGGTGTGTATTCAGGAGAAATATCATTTCTTCATCTTTTCCTGGCACTCACAGGCCGCTCAACAGTGCAACTATTTCTGGACCATCCATATACGTAACCAACAGTTGTCACGCCTCTAACATTTATTCTGAATAAATACAAAAGCAAAGCTAAAAAGGATCAACCAGTAAACTCGACGACATTGAGATGATAAGGTCAACCGGTTCTTACGTCCTCCTGGGGTTGAAAAAGAACCGTTGGTCTTCGTAAAGTTACAGAAGAAAAGAGAAGCAAACTATTGTCTCCCCATACCACTAATAGATTCTAAATTGTGTTTATTGTGCTTTTAGTGCCAGGTTTTATCCTGTAGGGTTTTTCTTCGAATCTTTATGTTAATACAGTAAACTGCATTTATGACTTACACGTTTTAAACGAACTGACGTATATTACGAACTGGTTCCGACCTCTTGCTGTATGTCTTTTAGTCGAAATGCGTACAACGAAATAAGAATAGTCATATCGCTGTAACCATGGTTTCCTTACCTGCTTTTGTGATCATGTTGAACACATTCAAAACATTCAATACAGTTTGCAAACCAGAAATTAATGGTATTTCATGTTTGAAAAATATGTTTATGTTGCAACATAGACTTGATCACGTACATTGAACAAACGTTTACAAATTCCTTCAGAGAAATTTAGGAATAAATAAAATTATGTAGTATGATCCGTCGACTTCAAGAGAAAATTGAAAATGGCCGCCAGAGAGAGAACTGTTAAATCGAGCTTCAACAATGCAGCCTTTCCGGATAATTCTTTCCAGAACCATCTGTTCCAGAAGAAGAAGAAATTAAAGAGCCGTGTGAGAGTTTTGTGAACACTTTTGCTCGCAAGCTATTGGAACTGCGTTTCATAAATGGTTATGTTTCTTTAATGGCTTGGCAAATGGCAACAAAGAGGGTGGTTTTACTAATATAGCAGATCAATGATATAGTTCTTTATTCGATATTTGGTATATTTTAGGGGTGGGTATTGCAGGGAATTTTCGTATTGCGATATATTGCGATGCGAAAGCATGTATTGCGATATGTATTGCAATATATTGCAAGAAATATTTTTAACAAAAAAAATACTTATAATCGAGTTAATGCCTGATTTGTAAAGCAAAAACACAACAAAATCACAATGCTTGATTAGGCTTTTGGAAAACTTTTAATCATGGCAAAATATAAATATAAATAATGTTTGGCACAAATGAAACAAGGAAAGGAACAATTCAAAAAACGGAAATTTTCGAAGATTTCCGAGTGTTACGAAGTTTTCCGGATGCATGTCAAAATACCGGTTTTCGATCAGCGTATCGCAATACGTATCGTTTCCATGTCTGAACCGGTAGATACAGGTAAACCGGTTATATTGCGCAGCCCTAGTATATATATACCGAGCCATGGTACGACATATTACAAGGATGTACTGTAATCGATTATTTCATTGGTTGAGTTAATGTTCACAGTTATTGTTAATCCATTTGTAGGTACACAGAATTGAGGCAAAACATGTTCCGATATGTTTGTATCTCTGGATCTATAGTATGTATAAGTGGCCAAGACACAGGGGGAATAGAAATCCATGTAAACGTGGTGTGTTCATTCGACATCTAACTTGATCAACTTGCAACGAGCTTATCGATCTCTTAAATTTTAAATATAATTCTGACCTCGAAATATGTGTAAATGTTCTTCTTAGTGCTGCTGAATACATGAAAGTATATTGTGTAAAATTAGTAGTATATACAATGGGGGTTCTGGACCAGTTCCAACCAAAGCCTCTGCAAAGCCTTATTTCACAGATAAGGCTTTGGTCGGACCCTTAGCTCTTGCTACCATTACCCCTACTATAAAAAAGTTTGGGACGCTAGCGGGATACGAACGCCCAATGTTACACCTCCTAGCCGCACCACTTAACCGACTGAGCTACCGGGGACATGGTTGATGTGTGTCGGTTTAACGGGGCTATCCTGGGATTGCATCATCGTGCCGCTATGCCGTGTTGACTGGAGGTAACACTGTGCCGTACGGTACGATCAATAATTCCGCTCTTACAAACCCCCTACCTGGCCCATCCCTCAAGTAGTACAAGTTAGGCTCGTCGGCTTTCATGTCCACTTTATCTATGTTGTAAGTTTTGACTGACCATATAGGATCGGTGGCTCGCTTACGGCTATCACCCTCATGTTCCCCCGGCTGGTATAGATACCTAACTAGGGCCCTATCTGGTATCTGTTTCTCCTTCCCACGCAATGGAGCAGCCGACTCTGCCACTATTGATTTTAGTTTGATAGCGTCTGCCGGTTTCTTATCAATGAGCCGGGTGGCTTCATGGTTGATTGCCGACACCACCTTGGGTAACCTCACGACCCATTCAGTCGATCTTTTTCCCGGGTTGGCCATCTCCCTAGCATACTGATGTCCGAATAAGCGCTCAGCCAAAGTTCTATTGAATCTCTCAACTATGGCTTGGCTGCGATGGGCTCCGCCGTGCGCCTGACCTTTGTATCGTGTTTGGCTAGCAGTTGTGACACGGCACCCATGAACTCCCGCCCGGGTCAACTTGCAGCTCTGTTGGCCACGTCAGCG